TTATAAGGTCAGGGATGATACAGTCGGGGCTTGTGAACCGAGAGAGGAGGTCAAAAGAGCTGGGGTTGGGTAGAGAAGAAGCAGGAGAAGATGTCGGTTGTAGACGGAGGTAAGGTAGATGGTGACTCGGAAGAGGTGTAGGTTGAGGAGTTGAGGAGGTCGAAGGGGTTTGCTGCTGTAGAAGAAGAGACGAAGGTTCTTTCTCGTATCCTTTTATCAATTGAGTGCAGTGGCGTCGAGGAGACTGAATTGTGGGATTTACGTAGGATCTACATGATTCCTTCGGATATGAGGTATGCTTGATTTAAGCAAATTTTGTGGGATTTTATCCAGGATTTGAGCTGGTTTTAGTTGTTTATCCTTAGGTTAATAGATGTTAGAAAATTAAGAAGCAAACAACTTCTGGTGGTCAATGTAAAATGAAAGTACAGAGAGGCTACTTGAAAGAAGGAATTTGGGATGAGATTGTTTTATCCATGTTTATTTTAATGTATCTTGATTTGAGAATGTCAAAGGACGGTATTTTTTTAAGGTGGGTGAATTGTTATAACTCAAAATTTTGAAAACTGTATTTTTTACTACAACAATCACGAATTTATTCAACAGTCATTATAAGCCCAAATTATAATCTATCTTCTCAATAACATCTTTATTATTGTATTTTAGTTTTCTTAATATTTTTAAATTTTTTTGGCGCTAGTGAAATTTCTAAAAAAAAATTGGCACCTAAAGGTACAACTGGGGTTTTTGAGACCATCAGGTGTCAGTTTTACAAATCGATTTTATTATAATTTTTGAAATAAAATAAGTTATTTTATGAATATTTCTTATAATTTTTTAAATCTCTAAAATAATTTCTATGAATTTTATATCAAACATTCATTAGAATATTATATTAAATTATTATTTTATCCTAAATATCTAAACCCACTTAATAAATCCCCCAGCCATTTCATTTCCTAATCTATTTTTGTTAACATAGAACGTTTGGGGAAAATGAGATGAAAAGAGAGGAGAGAGAAAAAGAAAGTTAGGTTATAGCAGCAGTAGACTGATTTTCGTCATCGGCCCATACAAATAATTACCTCGTCTCAAGGTGAGTTACTTTTTGTATATTTTAGATTTTAATAATTTTATATTTTTTTTATCAAAATTGTATTTCTATTATCGAAAAATGAGAATAACTTTATTTTGGTAAGACTTTCAGCATATAACTTTTTATATATTATAGAGATTCTGATTATAAACATTTTGAGTATATACTGTAAATTTTTTATTGGGCGATTTTGAAAAATAGTGATTTTTGCTTACTTAAAAATTTATTTTGACATCTAAAAATAGTTCTTCTGTTTATTTAAAGTTTCAAAATGATATTTTACGCAATTTATTGTAAATTGGTTATGTTCGAAAATTGTAAATTTTTACTTAGTAGTATTTATGTTGTCTACCATTGGGACACTTTGATATTTTTTTAATTCAATCCAATTAAACTTTAATTAATGAAATGCATTAAAAAAATATTATGATGTGATGTTGGTGCCAGTAGATGACCAAGGTGGGATTTTTTTGTCTGTGCTAGTGGGTGACTGAGATAAGATTTTATTATGACAACGCCAGTGAGAAACTGAAGTAGGATTATATTGTGCTGGTGCTAGTGGGCAATTGAGGTGAGATTATATTATGCTAGTGCTAGTGGGCGACCGGGATGGGATTTTTTTATACCGGTGAGATTTTGTTACCGAAGTGTTGTGAGGTAAGATTCTATTATGCTGGTGCTATTATGAAGTGTTTGTTTATAATTTAGTTTATTTCAGTATTTAATTTCAGTATATGATTCAACATAGTATTCTTAGTTCTTTTAATTTTAGTTATTAATTTCTATTTTAGGCTACGATAGCCTATTGAGCCTTGTTAGTTCATCCTACTTTTGCTTTTGTTTTCAGGCCTAGAGAAGGATAAGAAACGAGTTGAGTAGTTTAGATAGCACGCTCCTCTACTCAGCTCGCTCCGATTTGTGTTGTAGGTATGCTTTGATTAGTTTTAATTTTTGCACGCTTAACTTTTATTTTTGTTATGCTCTCTATTGTCAACTACTGTTATAAATAGATTTTAGATTATATATGTTTTGAATGATATATATAGAAAATCATGTTGAGATTCAGTAGTCTTCCACTTTATATTTCATTAAACAGTGGCTCTGGTAGCATATAAATTGGAAATTCTATTTCAGTACTTCTCCGACCAGGTCTTGAGGTCAATCTTGCCACAATATAACATGGTATAACATGTATAATTTTGAGTCATATCAGGTCAAATTGTCATAGTACTTGACAATCTTTGTAAAAAGCATTTGTCCTGAGGGGTATTCTGTAAAATTTTTTACTATACTGGTCGTGCAGTACGAACAGGTAATTACATTGTCCGATGTTTAATTGAACTATGGAATGAAACATCAAGAGAGAGGTGAATTGGTGTTTCAAAATCTTTTTCAGAACTTTTTGAAAATTTTGAATTAAACAACCAAATTCATAATCTTAAAATGAAAGCAAATAACAAAAAATAAATACTAATTTTATTTTTTTATTTTGAAAATAAATAACAAAAAAAGTATTTATTAAGTATTCTTTTTGAAGCAACGATCAATTCATTTTAATAAATAATAAGATATATAATGATATATCTATTTTTTTAATTGAAATGCATATAATTTTAGATGTATTTTTTATAAATTTTCATTAAAAATATGACTCATGACTTGTGTTAACAATGAATAAAATAATGTATTTTAAGAGTAATTTAATGACATATTAATTTGTGCCCCCATACAAAAAAAATTCTGGCTCCACCCATGACTATAATGATCATCAAACTCAATCAGATTATAGTAAAATTAAATATGCAAGAAAGTAAACTGCATAAAGTAAATGCAAAAAAAAAAAAAGCAAATCATATTTTATAGTGGTTTGGTCAACTTGACCTATATCAACTCTTCAAAGTCCTCCTCTTTGGATATTACACTAAATAGTTATTGATTCTCCTTTAGCCCCCACGACTACGCAGAGAAGCCCTAATGTAAAAACTTTCTCCAATTCGATGTGGTGGAGTAGCAGAATCCCTTTTACTGACCTAGTGCAGTGGAGTAGTTGAATCCCTTTCACATCCTTGATGTGACGGAGTAGTAGTAATCACTTTTCACCCTCGTGCGATGAAGTAGCCTGAATCACTTTCACTTTATCGGACTAGCGGAGAAGCTGGAATCACTTTCACCTTCCTAGTGAGACAATAGCCTGAATCACTTTCACCTTCCCAATGCAGTGGAGAAGTTGCTCATCATTTGACACCAATGGGGTCTTCTCGGAGTTTCCCTCAAAATGAACCTTAATACATTGAGGAACTCAGATGCAAGTTGGCCAGAGTAATCGTATGAAACTCTCTCTCACACACCTTTAAACCCATAAGAACCTTCTCCCACTCTCACAACTTTACCTTTTATCTCCCTTGCTCAAAGCGCTCCCTTCAAGCTCTCACCTACAGAAGATTCAACCCTTAGACTACTAAAGTCTTCTACAAAGTTTATTAAGAAAGTTAAAATAGCGGGCTTCCAAAAACCCTAATAATTCAATTCTGTCGACTCTGTTCGTACAATATGATGTATAAATCGTACAATATGATTGGTTTAATTCTCTTATGTCAGTACTGTGCAATTAATAATAATGCAGTACCAATACAAATTTATAGTAGTATAGTATGATTAATTTAAATGAATTGTAGTTCAAACAAGATGAACCCTGAGACGATAAAAAATCATCTCCGTCGATCATCCAATACGATCAAGTTCGTATAATACAATCTTAATCCTTGACTAAGCTAGATTCGATTAATTAATCACTAGATTAAATTAAGCAATTTAATTTAATTTTAATTTTAATTTTTAAAATTAAAATTTAATTTTAATTTTACTTAATTTAATTATAATTTTAAATTTAAATTTTAGTATTGTGTGATTGTACAATACGATTAATTTAATTTTAATTTTAAATTTATTTAACTTAATTAACATTTTAATTAATATTTAATTACACATATCGTAAAGCACGATCCAGATTGTCCAGTACAATCTTTTAAAAAAAAAATTAAATTTTCACTCCCCCTGTATGTGTTTCGACAATTGATAACTAGCATACACATTTTACATATAGTCTTAAAAAAACTTCTCTTTTAAATAAATCAATCATATACAACTCATTGAGCTATGATTCAAAGGATGTTTGGTGTGTACTAAACCTAAAATATTAATAGTACATAGAAACTATATAGAACAGAACTAAATAAATATCAATAATATTTGTTATAATCAAAATATAGGATCAGACTCCTGAATTGCAACACTAGCCACCAACCATAACCCTTACCATTGATTGATGGCGCAACCAATAGCCACCACCACAAACAATCTATATCAACCACCTATCCACAGCCATTATTTATATTTCATATATTTTGCTTTAAATCAAACATAAAATAATCACATGCAATCTATTTACACTCATCCAAACAACTACAAAATTTCATATAACATAAATTCACTTTATATTATATTTTTTTTTTTCAAATTCACAACCTTTCCTTTTTCTTATAATATATTAAATCTTGCTCATCTATCTAAGGAGAAGAATGAAAGACTTCAATCACAGAACAAAAAAAGAGAAATCGAAAAATTTTGTTTGATATGAGAATGAAATTAAAGGAAAAAAAGAAAAGATAAGTAAAACAATCAAGTTCTCGTAAGTTACCTCAACACAGGTCATTAGCTCCTTTCTATTTTGAATGAATTGAAAAGAACTAAAAATTAATTATACTTCACAAAAAACAAACAAATTATCTTTTTAACAAAATTTTAAATATATTAACCATAAAAAAACACAACTACAGAAACATCATTCTAAAGTTAATTTGATTTAATCAGTATCTCTATTTCAGAATTAATAAGCTGATCAAAATAAAAAAATGAAAAGATCGATATTCATAAAAACAAGTTCTCCCAAAAATTTTAAAAATAAAAAGAAATAAAATAACACTAAAATTGTTCTCAGATTCAAGCCTAGACTTAATGCTGACAACAGATTACAAAGCTCAGTTTGCAAACCCTAATATCTGAAAAAAATTAAAAACGCTGTGATTGGTGGATGTCATTCATCGAGTCATTACACCTTCCTGCACGGCTTGAACACCCTCATCAGCTACTTTGCTAGATTGGATAGTGCTGATTGCAGTTGCAATATTAGCCTGAAGAACACAGTTTCAGATAAAGCAAAATCAGCTATGCCATAAATTATAGTCAGATAGTTCCAGTTTATTGCCTATAGAAGCAAATGAATGGCCTAAACATTTGAACTGCAGCTCAAGACTGTGACCAAGGAAGAATTTTCCTGAAGTTATATGGAAAGCAAAACGAATGCCCTGTTGAAGCCAGGTGACAAACTTTATCATGAAGAATTGATCATAAAGATCCAACATCATAGAGCTCGTTTATCACAAGTCGAAATTGCTCATTTTCATTTTCGATTTGTAATTTGCTTGAATTTGACTTTCCTTTATAAGTTTGTCTATTCAACGAGCCAAATATAATGGGTTCGTTGATCATATTTGGCTCAATAATAATACGATAATATTTATATAAGTGTGAGTGAGAGCACAGGTATTCTTCTGTACTTTATATTTACATGTATAGATTATGCTCGCTCATACTCATACATGTATATTCTATAATTTATATAAGTTTATGAAATAGACTTCATTTTACTAATTACTATTACATCTAACAAATAATTTTTTTTGTCTCGTTTACTCTTAATAAACTGAGTTTAACAATAATTAGCTCGCCAAGCTCTATTCTTTTACACCACAAATTAAGTGTGATAAATTCATAACCTAAATATGTGAGAACTAAATATAAAAGCTGCGGCTCCTGATTGTGTCAAGTGGATAATTATGTCACGAAGAAACATCTTAGAGCCCAATTATCACAAGGTGGGCTTGAAAAAAGCTAGTCGTTTTTTATAATTGTATTTAGTTTGATAATTATCTTGAATTCATCTTGCTTATATATGTGTTAATTCAACAAGCCAAACACAAGCATAATCTTATTTGATCTTGTTCAAATGTGTGCACACGTGTGTATATATATATGTGCATGGGCCCCATTCATACATGTATGTGGTAAAATTTGTAATTTATTTAAATGCTTTCAAGTTGTGTTCACAAATATCTCATGTTCAGCTTGATAAGCAAGTGAACATAAAACATTTTGGCACATTTGCTTCGTAAGTCGTTAAATTTGCTTGAGCTCGATAACACCCATGAAAGCAAATGCATGACCTTAATATATGAGCTTCAGCTCGAGATTGTCACAGGACAACTTTTTCATAAAGAGCTAGCTAAACGAGCCGGTCATAAAAGTTCAACAAAATATGGCTCATTTAACTTATGGAGAAATTGCGTGATCTAAAACACACGAGCAGAGGCCATGGATTGCATTGCAGACACAACTTTCAAGAAAATTTTATCGTAGAGCAATATTTCCCGTACTTGAAAAGTTAGCACATCTTCCACACATTGGTCAATGAGGCGTGCTATACATAAGAACTCGTTATTAGGAGGTGATGGACTATTATCTTAAAGGTGGTGTTAAAAATGAGCCTGAATTGAATAGGTGAAAAGACTCTCTTAATTACAAGGGTCCAACATCGTATGGCTAATTTATCATATTTAAGAATATGAATTGCCAAAATATAGGAACTACATGAAGAGTTTTCATAAGGTTCAACATTGTCCGGCTCATTTATCTATGCAATATGCAATACAAAGTAGTAATGACAACTTACTAAACAAAGGTAAAACAAGCGCATGTAATCAATCTAAGGGAAGAAAATTACCCTCCAATTCACTAGTTTGGATCGAAGTCCTTGCCACTGTGACAGGCCAAATACCCGCTCAGTACGCCGACTGCATAAGACAGGATAGCCATCCTTATTTCAGGAAAATTGGAAACAAAAGTAGTTTTTTATCTTTCTAGCCTCATTCATTTGCAAGCTCTAGCACATTAAAAATAGTTAAATATATAGATAAGCAACTAACGTACCTAACAATTACAACTTGATTCATTTGATCCATCTTACAGTCAAGAACTTTCGACATTATTGCTTTAACAACCCAGTACTCTACCTCATCATCTCTGATCTGCAAGAAAAAATAGTTGGTAATTTGTAAGAAATAACAAATTAAATATGAGACAAAAAAGGTTGAAGGTTACCTGAAGAGCCTCCGTCACTTTTGCATAAGGAATTTCACCAGACTCATTACAACTCAAATCTATCAGGGACAACAATCTCATCTTTGTGATGCACTCCTCATGGACCAGACCTACATGAAACCAACAGTAAAATTGGATCAATACGGTTACTCCAAATAAGTCTATAAATACTAATATATCATTATACCATAGCTTTTAAGTAAGGCTGAATTTCGAGCATGGAAATCCAAGTAGCGATCAAGCCTACTGTTGAGAAAAATCTCTAATAGCTGATAAACCAAAGCATACTTCTCATCTTTCTCCAATTGAGAAATGGCAGGCATACCTGGTAGGTCGCACTGCAAGTAAATCATGAATATGAAATTAGCCGTAGCTAAAGGTTGTAGGTAAAATAGTTAACGATATCATTGTTAGAGTTATTCCAACTGAGTGCTGCTAAAATAAATAACTATAAGATTCCATATAACCGAAAAGGAATTATGTTTTTGGAAAGCAAAATAAAGTAAAAGAAAAAAGATCAGAGCTTCTCTACACGAATTGCGTCAAAAGAAAAGCTCTATAGATTACTTGATTATTAGAACTCAATTTTGTCGCAGGTAATATTTAGGTACGGGAGAGAAGTAGTTTCATCAAGGCATGATAAAAGCTGCTTTTGTTGTTACTTTATCCAAAGCATTAAGATACAAGGTCAAATAATTTATCTTGATCAATAACATAAGAACTGATCAGAAGATAAACTTCAAGAACCCATATTACTGCAGGTTCCATGAGATAGAGAAAAGAAATATAAAGAATTTAACACCATGAACAATATTGGTATTCAGTTGTGCTTTTATGCTGAGGTTGCCTAATGTTGGGTAACCTTATACCAAAAGTTTTATTTATTTAGATTACTATATCACCATCCCAGCTTCATTAATGAATGAGAAAATATAAATCTTGAATATTTGCGCATATTACTGTTTTAATAGTGTAGAATGAGATGATTGATCGAGATATTACGCTTAATTCCTCATTACAAAAAGGGCTAAACATGAAATGATGGAAACTTCATATTTCTTGATCGGTATAAGTTTGTATGTACACAAATATGAATATTCTTATGCAATTGTGCATGAATGTAACCATATTAGTATATGTCGACCCACTTCATTCACACATGGAAATGCCTTCACTCCTAAGTTGAGGAGAGCTCTATTTAATATTGATAACGTAACTTGATTCATGTCATGATTATTTGACAAGTTTTACGTTGGTTGTCGACTACCTAACGCAACTCTTCACTTTTCTCATTTGGGACTTAGGACCTTGCAACAACAGTGTTTGCTCCCCTATTGTGTTAACATGACACAATGGAGGAAAATGATTCATATAGCCAACCCAACATAGGCTTAATGTTGTTATTGTTGTTGTAACATAACTTAGTTCAATTGCTTGATTCCCCTATTTAAAATGCTTTGGCCCTCCATCCCCAACCCAACATTGCCCTACACATGTATTTTCCCCCTAATAATCTTTGAAAACTCAAAAAAAATTATAGATAAATTTATTCCTTCTTAGTAAATCAAGTGGCTGCAGATCTCTCTCAGAAAGCACATGATTAGGCTATAAACATATTATGAAAGTGTTATAGCACACATAAAGGGGGAATGAAATAGAATTTTAAAACTTTTTCTCAAAAATAGTATTGTGTGGAAATTAAGAAAATAAAATATTTAAAACAAAAACAATTTTTTTGTTTTTAAATTTTAAACATTTATTTTGTTTTTGAAACTTTATGCAAGAATTTAACTAAAAAATTCATCCACAAATTTTAAAAAGATATGCAATATAAACCAAAACACATGAGAGTAAATGCAATAACATAAAAGAAACACAAACCATATTTTTATAGTGGTCCGGTCGAAATCGTCCTACATCCAACTCCCCAAAAGTCTTTCTCTTTGGGTATTCCACTAGAAAGCGCTCCTTTGGCACTCAGACAAGTAGAGAAGCCCTTCTCCCTCACCAAGTGGAGAATGACTTTTATACTCTTCTATTCCCAAAAAGACTCTCTCTTTCAACCTCCTAGCACAACGGAGAAGTAGCTCCCTCCTACTCGCACTACGAAGATGTCGTATCTTCCTGCTCCTCACACAATGGAGATGTTGCTCCCCTTGGTTAGTAAAATCTTTTGCCCAAAAACTTCTTCTTAGAGCTCTTCTCCAAGATCTCCAAAACCACCACATGGAGGACCCAAGGTACAGACCAACAAGAACAATCGTGTTTTTCCCTCAAGAAAACACTCTCTCAACCTCACCTCCTATCTCTCCCAAGTTATTTGAACTCTCTTGCAAACAATGAGACATTTCTCACTCTCTAAAGCTCTCTTACATAGAAGAAACGTCTCTAACTACTCAACACAACTCCTCAGGTCTAATGATCATCGACTGGAAATGAGTTCTAGAGAACACTCCTAAAAGAAGTAGGGCGTGCTTTCCGGCCATCATCGAGAATACTGAGTAGAAGAAGAGGGAAGAAGGATTTGAATAAGAGGTGATGTTGTATAAAATGAGATTTGGCCCTCTGTTTATAGCCTCTGTTTGATCGTACCATACGATGTCAATTGTACAGTACAATAAGTATAATCCAAATCCTCCCATACGAAACAATGCGAAGACTAGTCAAATTGTCAAGTATGATCTGGGACCGTGCAATACGATCTTTGTCTTTTCATTCATCCCTGGGCCTCTTAAAAGTGTTCGTATAGAATAATATGCAATAATGATCGTACCAACCACAATAATTTTGTCCCAAAAATTTTTATTCCATGTCATTCGTACAGTACAACAGGTATTCATACAATACGAACCACAATAACTGATTTAATCTGAGTCGTTGGTTTCAAATGAAGGGTCAATGCATGATGATCGACATGTAGCATACAGTATGATGGCGATCTTACAGTTCGATGTGAGAAATTTGTGCCTTTCTGTGTGATGATTAGGAGCTCTAACATAGAAATTAATAACACACAATCCAAGAATTGTGGGGAGAGATCGACTTTCGGCATCCAAATCTAATAGACCATACTTATGATAAAAAAAAAATAACACTATTTTGTAAGAGGATCATTTACATCTTCCTCGAAGGATTCAATGAAAGACTTGACAACATTAAGAGTGATGTGAGCCAACTTAGCCTTTCCAATGGTTAAACAAGCACCCGCGTGCATGCCAAAGGAATAAATCCTCAAGGCATGAAAACAAAAAGAAGATATTACTGAATCTGAACTAGCAACCTTTGGCCCCTGTTGTTGCTATGAATAGAGCCTCACCTTATGGTCAAGGTAAAAGCTATTACAATATCAACAATAACACCTTATTTGTTCTACTAACCAAAGCATTGGTGATCGGACAATTGACTCAGGTGCAATGAAACACATGACATGTAGCAAAATAATTTAGGTGAGATGATAGTATCAAAATGATCAAGTATCTAGAATGTGAATGGGTCATATACCCCATAATAGGGGCTAGAACCATGGATTGTTCATCATAAATACCTTGTATATTACTCTATGAGGGCATTCTCTTTGAACTAAACAATTATCCGTTGAAAAAGTAACACTGGATTTAAACTGTGCAGTACTAATGACCTATACTTTTTTCCCTTTCTACGATATTCTTGTAAAGGAAATCATTGGACGTGGTACTGAGAAAGAGGTATGTCATATGTATGACTTCAATTAGGTAGAACAGATAATGACAATCACTTTCAAGTGAAAAATAATGATAAATCAACTTTGGTACTATCACTTAGAAGATCCACCAATTTTATTACATGAAGCACTTTTTTTTGAAGATGTGCTCGAGCTTAATTTGTTCTAATTTTAGATGAGAAGCTAGCACCTTAGCTAAGAGTTATCATGCATATTTTCCGAGCAATCTTAATGAAAGTGATGTTCCTTTTATTTTAATTCACTATGATGCTAGAGGATCTTCTCCCACTACAACTATCCATGGTATATATTGGTTCGCGACCTATGTGGATTATTGTACTCAAATGACATGGCTTTATATATTAAAAAGGAAGGATGCAGTATTTTTAGTGTATTTCATGTATTCCATGCCATGATTCAAAATAATTTTCAACTAAATCTGAATTATTTGCTCAAATAATAGGGGAGAGCATATGAATCAACAATTTTTAAAATATTTAAAAATAATGAACCGCTTTAAGCTCTTCATATAATCAAATTCTTCAACAAAAAAAAATGTAGTCAAATGAAAATTTGACATATTTTAGAGATTGCACATGCATTCTTGATTGGAGCAAAAATTCTTAGTAACCATTGGAACATTGTTATCACCATGATTCAAAACCAATTCCAAGTAAAATATGAATTCTCGCTCATATAATTGGGGAGAATATATGAATCAATAATTCTTAGAATACTTCTAAAATGATGGTTTATTGAATGAATCTTAATATAATTAAGACACCTCAACCAAATGTAGCCAAACAAAAAAAAATCAACATTTTTTAGAAAATTGCACATGCAGTATTGATTAGAGCAAATGATGTTGTGGCCGCATTCCTCCACCCCATGAATTAGATGCCTTCTAAAAGTTTGGGATTCAAAACTACACTGCAGGTAAAGGAGTTTTTTGGTTGGAAGTAAATTGAGTGTACGTAAAGTAAATGAAGGGGTTTTGAGAGTTGTTTGGATGGATGAAAAACAAATCCAAGGTAAAGTAAAGTGAATGCAGTGTATTCCATTCTAGTTCATTTTTTAGGTAAATCATTATCGCCCAATTTTGAGCAAGAATCATTTACACCGCTCCAAAGCTTGCTTGAGCACCACCGATGACCACCGACCAGCCGCCGCGCACCACCAATTGTCGCCGCCTGTCCTCCATTGCTACCCACCGCCACCTGCCACCCACCACCACCACCTTCCTGCCCTGCCAACCACCCGCCGCCGCCCTCCAGCGCCGGCTGCAGGCCGCTATCCACCGCAGACCACCTGGGGCACAATCTTTTAACACTTTACATTGCATTCACTCTACTTCAAACCAAAATAAATAAATAAAATCATACATTCATTTTACAATCATCCAAACAACTCCAAATATTTCTTTTATATTGTATTCCTTTTTCAGGCAACCAAACAGCCCTGATGTAAAAATATATTATATTATCCTCAGTTCTATGTATTCATCACGTGTATTTGGTTGTGCGGTGTTTATTACTATGCATACAAAATAATGGAAAAAAACTCAAGTTATTTGTTCTTAGCTCTATTTTTGTTTGTATGTTACAAACAAAAAGGGATATAAATTCTATCATCATACCACAAAGCATTCCACATTGCTAAAATCTAAAAATTTAGACTCCCCAAATATATCCACTTCTCAAGGGAAGACTTGTGAGGAAGCGCAGAAGTGATAGCAGTGCTTGAGCAAGGAAATCTTTATAAAAGTTGTTCCATGTGATAGTTTCACTGAAGAAACAATAGTTCCAAGTGCAAAACCATCAGCAGCAATATCCACAAGTCCATGGGAAGGTCTTGAAGGACTAAACCAAAAGCACAACAACCACAATTCACAACACCTAAAATCAAACAAGTTTCGGCACTTTAATTCAAGGAGTCGACCCACATTAACCCAGTACAAAGACTCCTTACTCCAACTAATAATGATATTCCACCATTGGAGAATGTCCATGATGCAACTTCACCACCTTCTAATGAGTACAAGTTGCCCTCAAACAATATACCAAATAAATTTTATGTGGCTATTGCAGATCCAAAATAGACCAAAGCAATCTAAAAAGAAATAGAAGCACCAAAAAAGAACATAGCCTGGGATTTTGTTCCACTACTCAGAGGAATAAAAACAATTGGATGCAAGTAGATATGCTCCATCAAGCATGATGCAAATAGATCTATCGAATGACACAGGCAAGCTTGATGGCCAAGGGCTAAACAAACTTATTTGGTGGACAATAAGTCATTTTCCACAGTAGCAAAACTAAACACAATCAGGGTCTTATTATACTTAGATGTAAATTAAGATTGACCTTTACACCTATTTGACATGAAGAACCCCTTTTCTTCATGGAGACCTTGAGGAGGAGGTACATCCCATAAGGCTAAAGTTAGGATGCTCAATTATAAGCCTATCAACACCGCTAGGGCTCATAGCTAGATATTTGGAGACTATACTCAACAAGTACTAACAAATAAGGAGAGCTATAAATCAACGATGGGGAAGCTTAAATACCAATCTCATACTCACCCATACATCTCCCATGCAATCAATATTCTCAATCAATTTAGCATTGTCGTGGTAAAGACCATATGAATGCAGTGGTAAAGATAATCCAGTGCTTAAAATTGGCTTCATTAGGGCACTTATGTTCTGAAGAAATGGCCACCTAAATGTTGAGGGATATCTTAATGATATAATTGGGAAGAGAAGGTGATCTACAGTCAAATACTTCACATTAGTTGGCGGATGTTTAGTTACTAGGAGTAAGAAGTAAAATGTAAAGGCTTTATCCATTGATAAAGTCGAGTATCAGGAATTGCTAGAGGGTTGTGTTAGCTACTTTGGCTTAGGAAACTACTATATTAAATTGGGTTAACCCCTAAATAAAAAAAAGCATGTATTGTCATAATAAAGTGCAATTGCATTAGCCCATAACCATGTCCAACATTGTCATACTATATGTATTATCATAACAAGCAATGTGAAGATAGATCAACATTTCATAAAGAAAAATCTTCATGAAGGGGTTCGTTTATTGAGACAGCTGATCAAAGGGGTGATATAATATTTACACCAAAGTTAAGGGAAGAGTTGACATGAGCCATTCTTTCCTTTGATATGAGTTGTTATGTAAAATAGCTAGCATTTAAGTATATATTTCATGCATTTAAATGTTTATAATTTACAAATTGTTTTTTATAGCAATATTCAGGCACATTTAAAGGATTCCACATAAAACATTTCTTCATCTTTATGTGTTTCGATTTTATAATGGAAGAATACAAAATTTTTTATACAATAGAAAATCTCTTGCTTTACTATTCTCTTTACTTTCACTATTTATCAAAAAATATACCATAAAAAATAGACATTTTCATACAACTCCAATGAACACAAGGTCAAAGCAACTCCATGAAATAAATAATCACAAACTTATCACACTACATTAAGATAGGAACCAAGTAAAAACAAGAAAAGGCAACAAAAAGGTCCTATCTTCGGGCTGCTTGATTGCTCGTGGTTAGGGATATAACTCCCCTTCGAGAGGGCATAAGTTTAGAGCCATGCTAGCAAACTTTCCGCTCAACATTCCAAAGAAAATGTATCATCTTCATAATTAGATAATAATGCATTAAGAATCATCCAAAGAACAATAAACAACAGGAAGACAATCAATATATCTACAATAAATGACAACTATGGTCTGAATGACTCATACAACCTTCCTATAGGATGAGTCATTTATTCCTTTCCTACTATGGAAAAAAGGCATTGTTTACCACACTCTAGTAGTATCAAATGATGCGCCTCTGCATTCAACTCAGGAATCTAAGAAAATGGGTAACCACATACACTAAGATCATAGTTTATATGGTACCTGGAACATGTCAGGAGACTTTACAAACTCTATTATAGCTCGGACAGCTTCCTCTTTTTCCTCATTCATTAAAAAAGCTTCCTCCATAGAAAAGGTAGTTAAGTACTTGGATAGAAAGATGAAGGATTCTTTACTCATACTGCAAAGTAGGAAAAACATATCTAATGTTAGAAGGCATACAAACAAAAGTAACAAAATAAAACACTTATGCAAACAAAAGTAGCAAACCAAGATCAAATTTTCCATAGGCACCTTTTATTATCCTTCAAAATGTTTGAGATAGTCAAAAAAAGATCTCTCTGGTCCTCTTTTTCGATATTCCATTCTTGTAGAAAACTATCTATCATTTTCAATGAAGGAATGATGCTCTCAATCATCTTTCCATTGGCTGCCAAATTTAATGCCTTTGTGTAAACAAAGAACCTGTTGTAAGGGTCCTCCAATAGATTGTACAGATTGAACAAACTGTTTGTAAAGAGCATGGATTTATAAGTAGTGAATTATGATATGATTGTCTTATAAAGAGTAATAGCTATTTCCTCTCACATCTTCAAGCGTAAAGCAGTTTTGTCACTTGGTTGCTGGATAATCTTAGTTGAAATAAGTTTTGCAATCTCCAATGCTTCATCTGGACTACCAGCTCTTGTTGCAAGGGAACATATAACAGTAAAGATGCACTCAAAATCTGGCACAAGTTATAACATATCTCAATTTTTACACAACAAATTATGAAAGGAAATGGCAGATACAAAGTCCTATTCTATAATAAATAATAATATCATGGCAATGACGAATTCAGTTGCATAAATAAATTCCTTAATGCTATTTGCTCTATTAGAAACTTCATATGGTGTCAACTGTCAACTCTAGCTTATATGACCATAAGAATGGAAAAGTTAATAGGCAGAAAGGAAGAACTCAGTAGTGTACAAAAATAGTGCAGAAATATACCTCAAACATAAACAGCAAGTGCTTGAACCCATAAGTTCAGCATTGTCATAACAAGATTATAAAACAAGCGTATTATGCTGCATATTAGGCGTATTATACACCCAAAACCCATAGGAACTTAATGCAATTGCTTCCAAGCTACTGGACCTTATCAGTAAGAACTGTGCTTGCCTTAGACATACTAGCATTAATAATTCTAAAAAAGTGTACCTTTCTCAGAGACTTTCGAAGTAATCAGTTCAGCCGAAGTAAGCATGAGAGATGCCAGATCTACCCACCTACCCATCATTATGCATTCTTGGGCTTCAATGCATAGCCTGGCCACTTGAGGTTCTGCCACCTAAATACACACAAAAAGGACAAATATTTCTAATTAATTGCAACGAAGTGCCGAAAAACAGTAAATCGGCCCCAAGACAAAAATAGAACCATGGCATATCCTCTAACCCTAGATGGGAGTTCCAGAAACAATCACATCAGAAATTCCATGAGCTGATTACGTTACTTAAGATATCAACAAAAGGAAATACTTAATGAACCCGCAACGTATTTCTGAGAGAAAACCTACTCCCATACCAATATAAACTTATGAAACACAAAAAATCTCAGTTAAAAACTGTCAAGAAACAACCTTTCACTGTCAAGAAACAACCTTTCGGCTGAAATTGACAAAACCCTGCAAGATTAGCAGACCAATGTAACGCGCAAACATAAATCTACCAAAAAAGGAGAAGTTTCATACCTCCAGACCTGCATCGGCCCAAGCGAGCTCAGACGTGACGCGCACGACAGAGATTACAGGATTGTCCTCTGATGTCGGCACGATCGTCGTCATCTAGAGCGGTGAGGTAGGACTTAGAAAGAAGCTGGAACAAGAACCTTGTAAGAGGCGCAATCGGAACGGTGCCCCAAAACCCTAACCAGCCTCGCCCTGCTCTGTTAGGAACATGCCGGGTTGGGCTTTCACGGCCAAAATGTGGCTTTAAGTGATAAAAAATCTAGAATTATTCGTCATTTTGAGGTTTAAGAGAATCAAAAGGGGGTGTTTGGTATAGGATTGGATTCAATTTTAGTATGATTTATTAAATTCTGTAAATCCGAATTTAGTAAATTCTGGACTCTTAAATTCTGAATTATGTTTGGTATGACAATTTTTAAATCCTGTTAAATCCAAAAAGATATTTGGCAATAGTTAACAGGATTTAAAATGGTTGGAGATTTAAAATTGAATTAACTAATTATTTTGAAATAACTTCTTATTTAATTAATATTTTAATTATTATTTTATTAGTTTTAATTATAAATTTTATTATTAATTATCTCATTAATCACTTAAGAATTCTACTGCTCATTAATTATTTAACTATTATTTATATTTTTAATTATATGTTTAATAATGTATAAGATAATTATACTAATTTATAATTACTAATTATATTACTAACTATTTTATTAAGTTAAATTAGATAATTAATTTATACACTAATTCTACTATTAATTATTTAATTAATTTACTTAGTTATTAATATTTTAAATTATATTAATTAAGTTAACCAGTAATAGCTGAGGCGTCTAGGGTTTGCTTTTAATCTTCTCTTGTTCGTCCTTGATGTTCGGCTTCGTTGCTTCGCAGGAAGTGTTGAGATTGCACGAGTCGCTTCTTCGACTACTTCGTTGTTGTTCGACTTCGCTACTTCGTTGTTGTTCGATTTCGCTCCTTTGACGGCGTTCCCTTCCTGTCGGATCGGACGTTACAACATTTTGATCTGAAGCAACGACGGGAGCTCCCTCGCTCGTTGTGAAGGTAACTTTCTCCCTTTCGCACGCTTCTTCAGCCAAATCCAGTAAATCTGAGTAGAAACGGGATTTGGATTTACAAGGATTTACCTGATTTACGGCATAAATCCACAAATACTGGATTTACGGATTTGTCGGATTTACAGCGCCATTTTTTGTGTTTGGCTGGATTTACCATAAATCCTACTTAAAATAGGAAATAAATCTGATACCAAACACCCCCTAAGGGGCTGTTTGGTATCGGATTTATCATGGGATTTAAGTCGGATTTACGCTAAATCTAGCCAAACTGTTTTTGTGCACGCGTTAAATCCGGGATTGGATAAATACCAGATTTACGGATTTACGGATTTACGGCTTAAATCCCGGATTTACTAAATCCCTCGGTTCGGCGGATTTATGGGATTTGACTGAAGAAGCGCGCAAAAAGGTTGAAAGTTACCTTCACAGCCAGCAAGCTCACGTTGTTGCTTCCGATATAAATGTCGTAACGTCCAATCCAACAGGAAGGGAAAATCGTCGAAGGAGAGAAGTCAAACAGCCAGGAAGGACTCTAAACCTCCTGCGAAGCAACGAAGCCTAACAGCAACGATGAAAAGAGAAGATGGAAAGGCAAACCCTAGACGGCTCTACGTTATTATTGATTAACTTAATTAATATATAATTTAAAATATTAATAATTAAGTAAATTAATTAAATATTTAATAGTCTAATTAGTTCATAAATTAATCATCTAATTTGACTTAATTGAATAATTAGTAATATAATTAGTAATTAAATATTAATATAATTAGTTTAAGTAATAGAACTTAAATATATATTATTAAATATATAATTAATAGTATATATAATAATTAGTAAGTAACTTGTATTGAACATGTACTTTATTTCAGATTGTAAGTAAAAGAAATCGAACATCGTGAAAAAATTAATCTCCTGAGAAATATATATGAAGCTAACTGGAAATTTGAAGCATCCTTTTATTTAATATTTCATTTGTCAGTTTGTTCAATATTAGTTTGTCATTTGCTCTTTATTGAATTTTTTGTAATATTGTATGAACTTAAGTTGATTTTATTATGTTTTATGCAATGATATCTTCTTTAAATTTAAATCCTAACTATCATAAATCTTGATATATATATTGCCAAACAGTTTCTTAGGATTTAACATAAATCATCATTTGTCATATCAAACAGTTTTCAGGATTTAACACAATTCGGATTTAGTAAATCTGTATATATTGGATTTACTAAATCTCACTTGTTGCCAAACAGCTGCCAAATAGCCCCTAAGATATACTGCCTTGGATTCCATGAATTTTTTTTCAAGGATTTTTATGAATTTATGGTTCGGGAAGAATCTAATTAAATCTTATATATTTACATTATAAATGAGGTGTCTCGACGTGAATGAATGCCTTCTATATATGGGCTAAATAATTTTACAAATATTATATTATTAAGTTCATCCAATGTAAATTTGACAGGATATTATAGTTTAATAGGAGATAGATAATTTTCATGTAAGAAGACATCACTTTTTGTTGGTCGACGTTTCATATCTTATTAGCCAATCTAATTATACATTCATTTTCATATCACTCAAGATTACACCACAAATCTTACTTAAAATAAAATCTATCGGCCCACCTTCCTATACAGGGTAATATGTCTCCAGCCAATTTGTATCAATCAATAATTTCTAGGAAGTATTTTTTACTTTTACACACATCATATCATATAAATTATAATAGTAAACAACACATCAAATACAATTATGCCATCAATATACATGTATTTATGCCAAAATGAATATTTTGTTAAATGAACAGTAACTCAATACATATCATGTATTTCATGTCCACACTTAGTATACTGACTTGTGATCATTTCATATCATTATACTCATCAATATATATGTATTATGTCAAAATGCATGTTATGCTAAATGAACAGTGACTTAATGCATATCATGTACTTCACTTAGCAAGATGACACTTGATCATTTCGTACTCGGTGTTATTCTACACCTTTAAAATAAAATAACATGTAAAAATGATCGGTAAAATTTTAATATGAGCTTGTGAAAATATTTAGGGTGATAATATCTACCGCATATCAAAATTTACATAATGAAAGTTCACTAGAATGGGAAATACTATATTTTAATTTAATTTAGGAGAGAGAAAATAGAGAAAACTCAAAATTATTGAAAACGGATGTAGGGTTAAGATTTGCTATCATGATCGGAGCATTTTTCATAACTAAAGCAACATAAAATACCAACCTTAACCACACTTTCTCTCTCTTCTCTCCTCATTCTCCTCATTTTTTCTTCTCCTCTCTCTTTTATCACCCAACATGCTTATGAAATGGGAGGAATGGCTTAAGGTGATGATTTTAATAGAAAGATTATAAGAAAATAAAACTTTTGACTTAATGCCACATTGCTCAAATCTTCAGCGTTGTAGTGCTTTCTCGAGAGATTGGCGCCATAGCGCTCAAATCCAATGACTCTTATTCCATAATTCTCATATAAAGAGGGCAACATCATTAAGCTTGAAAGCACATCACTACAACATTCCTAGCCAAAGTTATAATATTTTAGAATATTTTAATTTAATAATTATTCATTTAAAAATTTAGAGTTATTACACACCATCACCCGAATATGATCATCTAACCACATTGGCCCGATTGCGGTCTTACTAACCTCAGTCAACAATCAACTATAGTCCTCAAACCACCATCCATCTACCTATGACTCTCAGACCACCATTTCATAATTATGGTCCTTCCAATCTGGACCACCCATCAATTACAATTCTCAAACCACGGTTGCCTGAATATTGTCCTTAGACCACCATCACCCACTGATTATGATCTTGGACCACAATTGCCCCACTATAGTCCTCAAATGATTGTCACATGATTATGGTCTTTCTAACATTGGTCACCCTTCTACTATGGTCATTATAATGCCCTAAAATCTAAATTTGGAACAATTGTCCATCTTGTCTCTTAGTTAACTGCTAGAGACCCTAATCTCATTTCTTTAATGAAAACCAACAAAGGTAACCATGTATATCAAGTATTTTCTCTATATTAATTAATCATCAAATTTTATTTGTAATAGTAAGAAGTTTAATTAATATATCAGTCTATCTCTCTATACTTTTAACTATAAAAGAATAAAACAAAAATATTAAATAAAATTAAACCTAAAGATCCTAGTTGATTTCACTCCACTGGATCTTGACCCCTTCCTAAAAAAAATGTAAAATATAGCGAGTGAATTGCTCATTAGGTTACCAGAATCTACAACTATAATTAAGGTAAGGCAATATGAATAATATGCATATGATCATTCCACATTAGTTAGAATATATAACATATAAATAAGTAGTAGTCAATATGACAATGTCATTTTATATGTGCAAGGGAAATCAAGAAAAATAATGTAACTTATAATCAATGATTAATAGTTATATAAAGAATCAATATGCTCTGTTACACTTATACTTGTCAAATACAACGCAACGAGTCTATTAGGAATTTATGCATGTCTATAAATTATACTTTTATTTTAATTTATATACCAATTCATGTATATCAATAACCCTATATTTGTCCTATGCATGGCATACAATATTAATGTTATATCATGTTCTCTATCAAATGCAACACATCATGTATATCATGTAATTCATGTGTTATATTCCCTTGTACAAATCTTATCAATACTATCATATATATATTAGTCATGCCCTATATCATATACATACCATATTATTTTATGTCACTTATATAATCAATTGTGTATGCTCATGTCTTATGCATATGTAAGAAAGGCAGAACATTTAGCTTTCTCTGATCTTTTTCATGTATCAATTCTTATAGTCTAACCCCATAGAAATCAATCTCGATCATATCAATCATATTGTCAAGAATCAGTCTCATATCACATGTGACATCCCGAGATCTAAAATAGAAGAATTTCATATGTGGATTCAATGGTGGCCAAATGCATGTCACCTTAGTAGCAAAAATAGTTAAGGATTGGCCAATATGAGCTAGGCAACTCACCCAAGAAAGGATAACCCATGTGGTTCAATTTTCAAGAAGTTATAATTGAACTAATCATCATTTGGAGGTTATTTTGATGAATCTTCCTACCTTAGC